TCAGAAACATTTGAACATACAGGTAAAGTAATTTTAGCTGTGGAATGAAAATTGTTACAATTATCATAATACTTTTTCAGTGAGTTAACATGATACACTGTCTGTTTTTTTCTTCTGTCGGGCGTATTGACAACATAGTTCAAATCACTTAATTTTGAATGCACAGTAAAGGGTCCACAATATCTTAAGGATAACGCATTGTTCAGATTAGGCACTAGCACAAGAACTTCCTCGCCTGGATTGAATGTTCGTTAACGAGAACTCTTATCATACAGTCCTTTCATTCTCACTTGGGCCTTTCTTAAGTTCTTGTGAGCCATTTCGCACACGGCTTTCAGTCGAACGTGAAAATCGTCAAAGTTTTCCACTGGATGATCACTGGTACCTGTCCAACGTTCGTGGATCAGCTTCAGGGGACCACGGACAGAATGTCCAAACACAAGTTGAAAAGGAGAGTAACCTAAAGCTTCCTGGACACAGTCTCTCGCGGCGAAAATAATCCATGGAACAGTCTCGTCCCATTGGGTGTTACTTTTAGCGAATGTTCTTAGCATGGATTTTAGGGTCTGGTGGAACCTCTCAAGTACGCCTTGAGACTGAGGGTGGTAGGCTGAGCTGGTGATGTGGGTAACGCCTAGCTTGGCTAGCGCTTCCTGAAAATGGTGACTGGTGAAGTTGCTGCCTTGATCTGTTTGAACAATTCTAGGTAATCTAAAGGTAGTGAAGAACCGGGTCATGGCTCTGACTACAGTCTTTGCCTTAATGTTCCGTAAGGGGAACGCCTCGGGAAAACGGGTACTTGAACACATAAAGGTAAGTAGGTACTCGTTGCCCGCCTTGGTTTTAGGCAAGGGACCTACACAGTCCATGACGATTTTAGAAAAAGGTTCTTCTAATACAGGAATCGGACTCAAAGGGGCCTTAGGAATTTTCTGGTTTGGCTTTCCGGCCAACTGACAGTTCGTGCAACTTTTGCAGTAACGCGACACATCATTTCTCATTTTGGGCCAAAAGAACAGTTCTTTGATCTTCGCCGTCGTTTTAGTGACTCCTGGGTGCGCTGACATTGGATGGTCATGTGCCAGTTTCAGTATTTCATGCCGATAAGGTGGAGGGACCCACAGCTGGTTTTTACCCAACCATGGTTCGGCAGGTGAGGCATCCACTGGTACGGAGCGACGAAAGAAGAGGCCGTTCTCGGAGAAATATTCTCCATCGTCAGATGAGAGAGACTTTTCGACCATTGCTTTGAGTTCCGCGTCGACTTTTTGAGCTTTAATGATATCTTCCTGAGATATCCTCAGGGGTAAGCCCAGGCTTGTGTTTTCTGGAAGCATAGACTCCAGTTTGGGAGTCGAATTTCTTGACGATGATGGTAGATGTGGTTCAGACGTTGTGTCAGCCAATTGTTTGGTCTGGCTTCTTGTCACCGCACATGCAGGATACAGTTCATTATCATTATCTGGAACTGTTGACAAAGGGTCTGAAACCGTACAGGGGTATACTTTGCTTCCCGCAAGGTCATTCCCTAGAAGTAGGTGTACTCCTGGGACTGGAATACTATCTATCACACCTAAAATGACCTCACCTTCGACGAGATGATGTTTCAGGGCAAACTTGTGTAGAGGGACGACAGTAGGTTTTGTCCCCACTCCCTGGATAATGGAAATCCTTCCGGTGTTCGTCTCTGGTGTAATGTCCATTGAACTTTTCAAAAGGAGTGATTGTGACGCTCCTGTGTCTCTTAGGACGGTGATATTCCGCTGGGACAACGGATCACCTGATTTGCTAATGATGGCTTCGGCAATAAAAGATGAAAAGTCAACTTTTCTCGATCCCTCGAGATCGGTAGACTCGGAAGAAACTGGATGGTGGCGAGAACAGTCAAAATGTGACTGCACATAATGTGTGGAGACTTGACTACCTTCTTGCGGACACTTAGGGTTAGAGTCCTTTAGAATTCTAGAGTTCATAGTTGAACTGATTGCTTGAGGGGATAGAGCATAGTGCGCAGAAGAACGCACCACCTCTCTGTTATATTGACGACGTTTGTAACAGTCCTTGACATGGTGACCAGGCCTTTTGCAGAACTGGCATACTGCTCGACGATTGAGAGTTGATCTTGGTTTCTCTCTGGACTGTGATGCCTTCAAATGTTGGCCAACAGGAGGATTGCTGCCAAAAAGGGGAAGCACGGGGTTGAGGCGGTTTCCTGACACTGGTGGTTTCTTATGCACCAACATATATGTGTCAGCCGACTCAGCAGCCTTCTGGATATCAGTTATCTTGTTATCCAGTATGTGTAGTCGTATCTCTTCAGGCAGGGACGTTAGGAATTCTTCCCTTAGGATAAGTGACCTGAGTTTCTCAAACTCAGAAACTTCTTCAGAGTGTAGCCACCTTGAGAATATTTTCTCCTTTTCAAAGAGAAATTCCACATATGATTGAGTGGGTAACTTGCGGAGTGTTCGGAATTTTGTCCGATAGGCCTCGGGCGTCAGTGCGTAGGCCTTTAAAATGGCAGTCTTGACCAAACTATAGTTATTTTGAACGTCGTGAGAGAGTGCCTGGTATGTTTTTGCAGCTTTCCCAGTAAGGACAGAGCTCAATAAAGCAGTAATGGAAGTTTCGGGCCATTCACATGTCTTCGCTAAACTCTCAAACGAGTTAAAGAAAACGACCAAATCTGTTTCATCAAATTTAGGAACTAATTTCCCAAATTTGGCAATCACTTGCCCTACCGACAACTTTTTTGGATCTACCAGAGAAGTGACATCACTAACTTGACCAAACTCTAATTCCAACCTCCTCTTATCTAAAGCAATTTTAGCCTCTAACTCCTGTTTCTCTAGAGCACTTCTAGTTTCAAACTCCTTTTCTTTTAAAGCCTTCTCTAAAGCAATTCTAGCTTCTAATTCTATCTTCTCTAGAGGTTTCTCCTCGCGGAGTAACACCCCAGCCAACAAGCTTTCATCAAATACCCCTTCATTAATAAAATGAACAACAATTTTATCTCTCAACACCTCTGACTTCTGCGTAACAGAATAATCCAATTTCAATTCCTTAACAAGACTAATCAAAACTTTTCTACTCAACTTCTCGACCTCTTCAAAAGTGGGATTAGCCAAAAAAGACTCCATAACACTAACTTGAAAATCACAACAAGCCTAGATTCTTTAAATTAACACACCGTGTTGGGCCGTGTACTTGACCTCTAAATGTAGGACGTGACACGTCTGCTTATTTGACCTAGATACTCTAGCCTGAGCGCGCGTTGTAAGAACACTGCGCTACTGGATATAAAAACAACTAAATCTAACTAACCTTAGTATTCACCTGATATAACCAACAACTGGAACGACAGATTAAATCTCGGCGAGCCCCCACTTTGTAACGTTTACCTATCTATCAGCCAAATAGACGGTGAACGTCCCCGGATTCTTTTTTCGGGGTCATATGCAAATACCTTACGGCCTAAGTGGATGAACCTTAACACAACGACACACTAGGGCTCGAATTCAATGTCTAGGGAAGCTAGTGATACTATTGTAATTAACACTCATCCAATCTACATATAACCTTTAATCAGCGAACACAGTAGTGGCAGAACACAAGGTTGAACTAGATAAAATATTTAATGTATAAAATATCAAAAACCCAACTTACAAAATGCAGGAAAAAACACTATCACAGATTTCTACACTGTCTAAAAATAGCCACAGGCCACACAACACTGCTGTAGCTTCAGGAATTACTTAGCGACAAGTAATATTAAACTAGAAGACTAAATCAACTTAAGAAAGCAAGGCACACACAGGTCTTAAGTACTCTCACGTTCAAATGGTCAGAGTCTATAGCCGGACAATATGGACGGCTGCCTGATCAAGGTAAAACTGCCCCGTAGACTGCCACGTGTTGCGAGTGTGCAGTGCAATTAAAGACTTCTGCGACAGGGGAGGTTATCCTCAACTCATGTAGCCATTGGTTGGGATAATCATCTGATCAGAATCATTCAATCAGATCTTAATGGAAAATTTCTATGTCTCAAACACCTTAATTAGTCAGTGGAAAAACCCCAGGTGTTACACCATCACTCCCTATAAGGAATTATACAATGTCAAAATAAAAATGGAACCTGACTCGACCTAAGTAGGTCACAATATATATATATATATATATATATATATATATATATATATATATATATATATATATATATATATATATATAAATATATATATATATATATATATATATATATATATATATATATATATATATATATATATATATATACTTATATAGAAAATATTACGAATTCGGCGCCTTTTTTTGCTATTTCCGCTCCCCCTACAACGAAAACCTGGATACGCCTCTGAATACACTATTATCGGAATTGTTAAAAAGACAAGGCAAAAAGTAGACCAAATATGCTTGCACCTTTTACAAAGTACACGCTAGTCTAAAGCAGTGTTTTTTAACCTTTTTGGAGGTACCGAACCATACCAATTTCATATGCGCCTTCACCGAACCCTTCTTAATAGTTTTATCGTCCAGATAAAATCTTGAAACCTACGAGTCGGGTGTGTGCCATGACCTTCGCCAAAGCACTGAGACTGACTTACCGAACCTCTTGGGTTCGATAGAACAGGTATTAAGAACCACTGATCGAAACTTTTGTGATTTCTTCTTTTTATTCGTTTCGGTTTCATCAAGAGCATACGCGTAGGCAACACTTCGTTTACTATTTAAAGTGTATAAACATATTATCTGTTTCAGTCTGACGTGAATAAATCTTTAGGCCCACCAGAACGTGCTCTTGGGATCACACTTAATCAACTGACTGTAAAAACGATGGGGGGGGGGGGGAATGTGTGTCATAAACCCTACTCTAACCAGATTTAAAAAAAGAAACTAGAAATGTATAGCATAGCTTACATGTCGTAAATGTAAAAGCGGTGTAGTTTGGGAACTCTTGTCTTCAAGGGAGATTACTCTAATAATATATTCAAGATGGGGACCCAAGTTTTGTATCTCAAACGACAAACATCGCAAAAAAGTTCATTTTAGGAGTGTTTTAAGATCATTTACGAATTACAACATCAGATAAGAAAGGTCTAATGTTACTACAGCTTACACACGTGAACAAGTGAATAGCCGCATAGCCATAGGCCTATTTGGCATTTGGTGTTAAACATTTAGGAGAAAAATATTTTATAAAATTTAAATTTAAATACTAAATAGATAGGCCCTAGTACTACTAGTACTAGATCTAGTAAATAAATAGAATCTAGATTCTAGATCTAGAATTCTAGATCTAGATCTAGTTGTTAGCCCTATTGGTCAAAGCTAGTGACAAAGCAAAGAAATAACCAAATACTGAAATAGCTAAAAATACAGCACATTTAAAATAACACACACGTGAACTAGTCAATAGCTGCATAGCCATAGGCCTAAATTGATGTTAAACATGTTGGAGAAAAATATTTTATAAAAAAGTTAGATCTAGATCTAGAATCTAGATCTAGAATTCTAGTCTAGATCTAGTTGTTAGCCCTATTGGTCAAAACTAGTGACAAAGCAAAGAAATAACCAAATAGCTAAAAATCCGGCACATTTAAAATAACAACGGCTACCAATACTTAGGCCATGAATATTATTATTAATAATTTATTAATAATAATATATAATATTATGGCCTAAATGCCAAATGGACACCAGTGAGTTGACGAAAAATTGACGAAAATCCTTCCGTAATGTTGTTGACATGGAATACAAATGTGCTTTTTTAGTTTTAGGACCGTAAAAATAATAAAAGATAGGCTAAAATTTTATAAAAAACTTAAGCCTAAAATTAATTCAGAAATTTAATATTTTTTTAAGCAATGCTATACAAGTTGCGGATCCAGAGAACTTGAAAATAATGTGTTGAGTTTAAGGCTACATTTCAATTTATTTTCTCAAGCCTAAGTTATAACCCGATGTTTCACTTTCGTAAGACAAACATTGATTGGCTGTTCAGGAACTCCGTGATCGATTTCTGACAGCCCCACTTTATAGTTTTTTTGTTTACAAAACTTTGCAGATCAAGTTTTTAAATAACAATGCAAATTTAAACAACATGACCTAGTTTTTCTTTTTTTAGCTTACAATGTGTGCAATAAAATTTATGGTGGCCTATCGAATAGCAGGATGCCATTGTTTAGGTCGCCATTACACATGAAAAACAAATTGTTTTTGCTTTTTTTAAATTTTTATTTAGTTACCGAAAATATTAAAAGCATCAGATACATCCAATCTTTAGTTAAGTCCAAAAAAAACCAGACAGGCAGGATTATTTACATTATTTGTCAACACAACACCATATTAAATGAACACACTGATTAAGTCTGATTAAGAGAATTAAATTATTTCTTTAAGTAATTTGTATTACTTTTAGGCGATAAAATTGTATACATTTCATAGCGTACGTCCCCATAAGTAGATCTATAGATCTAAATCAAATTTGAATGAAATAGTTCATTTATCTATATACTACTAAAAGTCAAGTTTGTTTACATGTTTGAATATTTATTTTTTTGTTTGCCTGATTGACTATTGCTCATGGTTGCACTCATCGTGGAAAGCTGTAAAATAGTATGTAGGTAGAGAAAAATTTTTGTTTTAAGACAGACTGTTAATCACAAATTTATTTAAAGACGTTAATTAATTTATTGATTTATTCATTGTTAAATTAACCGTATTTTTTTTTAAAATGTTAATACTTTGAATAAACTTTGTGGGGATAGTGACGTCCCTTGATGTGTTTACTTTTTTTGGTACAATAAAAATGGCGGACTCCACCATAGACTTTGTGGCCCATTCAAAAGTTTAACGCGTTACAAAGCTAATTTTCTGCCGGCTATAACTTAAACAATACGTCCGTTTGCTGTATTTATTACGTTCCAACACTTATATCAATTTTCAACTGTCTTTTTCATTTAGTTTTACGATAAATTTCTCTAGATCTAAAGATCAGCTATCGAAGGAAAGTTATGAATAGGTACTAGGATTACATCTCGTTTTAACCCGCGCGGCGAGTTTTTCGTCCCCGTTACCCAGACGCCGAGAATTTGCGGCGACGCGAGTGCTATAGTTTCGTAATTTTTATCGCTCGGTGTTATCGCCCGATCAATTTTCGTGCGATTATCGATTTTTCATAAAAAAATGGACAGTTTGCGTTTTCATTGTTATTTTAATTTTGTTCATGGATTATTCGAGATGGAGTATTTCAGTGAAAATAAGGTAAGTTTAATTTACTCCCTACTGTTTATTTTTATAAAAAGGAGAAAAGTAATTGCATTATTTGAATTCTACACCACTTTTCTCTATTGTTTCAAAAAATCAAGTTGTTTGGACATAGCGCACAAAAGTTATATGCTGCGCAGTTTTGTTACCTTTATAAAAATACGTTTGTTTACAATTTGAAAGCGAAAGTGGCAAGGGAGGTAATAGAAAAAAATAGCGGCGAGCGATGTTTTGACGCCGGCGATAGTGGCGAACGATGTTTTGCCGCCGGCGATAGTGGCGAACCATATTTTAACGCCGGCGATAGTGGCGAACCATGTTTTCCCGCCGGCGATAGTGGCGAACGATGTTTTGACGCCGGCGATAGTGGCAAACCATGTTTTTCCGCCGGCGATAGTGGCGAACGATGTTTTGCCGCCGGCAATAGTGGCGAACGATGTTTTGCCGCCGGCGATAGTGGCGAACGATGTTTTGCCGCCGGCAATAGTGTCGAATGATGTTTTGCCGCCGGCGACAGTGGCAAACCATGTTTTGACGCCGGCGATAGTGGCGAACCATGTTTTGACGCCGGCGATAGTGGCAAACCATGTTTTTCCGCCGGCGATAGTGGCGAACGATGTTTTGCCGCCGGCAATAGTGGCGAACGATGTTTTGCCGCCGGCGATAGTGGCGAACGATGTTTTGCCGCCGGCAATAGTGTCAAATGATGTTTTGCCGCCGGCGATAGTGGCGAATGATGTTTTGCCGCCGGCAATAGTGGCGAACGATGTTTTGCCGCCGGCGATAGTGGCGAACGATGTTTTGCCGCCGGCAATAGTGTCAAATGATGTTTTGCCGCCGGCGATAGTGGCGAATGATGTTTTGCCGCCGGCGATAGTGGCGAACGATTTTTTGACGCCGGCGATAGTGGCAAACGCTGTTTTGATATTGAAGGTAGTGGAGAAGAGGGGGGGGGGGAGGGGAAGGTCTGGTGCGGTATTAGCAATAAACATTCAATATTTAGTGTCTTCAGAAAAACCATTTTATTTATTTTGATGTGAAAGCAAATAATGTACTGTTTACTTTTCCAGATAGAACCTACACTTCAAAAAACCAGCACATCTCTACGATATGATAAGCAGTTATATGGCCTAATGAGGGAACACTGTAAAGAGGAATTAAAACTATTACAATAAATGTGTTCATCTTTTATTTAGATAAATTAAGTAATATTTTTTTAAATAACTTAAATAAATTTTGAAGCAGTACATTGAAAGTTTAGTGATATGAACTAGTTCTATATCTTTTTAAAACCAACCAGTCCAATGTTGAACTTCTTCTGAAATGTAAAATACTAATGAATAGACAGAAACACATCTTTTTTAATTAAACTATATTTATAAGTAGACTAACAAGTTAATTACATTTATACAAATAAAAGACCTTACATTTCTAATAGACCTAATTTGCCATCATTTTTTTTTTACATATATTAGTTCAGTTTTTCAATGATGTCAGGTGCGTCGATGGCTCAGCGTTTTACCTTTTTACCATATTTTACCTATTTGTCAACATTTTAGATAGAACCATCAAACACACTTATTTCAGAGCTTCACTCTGGTTAGTTTTTAGCTTTAGATTCAAATAGTTTGGACATAAGCTGATATTGTATGAACAAATTTAGTATTTAAAAATAGGGGGTGTACCCTGTTCCACCCCTTATTTTTTGTTAAACAGATAGATTTAAACACATATTTTGATTACTTCTGTTTAAGAATAGAGTTATCTTGAGCTAGACAAATTTTGAGACTTAAGTGCTTAATAACTCAAATTTGCCATTATGTTGCATGTCACATCAACAAGACTTCTGTTTTGCGAAATTGTATAATTTATCAGCTTTGTAGCAGTTAAAACAAAAATCTTTTCAGTTATGAATATTAATTTGATTGTAATAACTGACACATCCATAGCTCATCATTCTCAGCAAGTTTTAACTTAATTTTCTGAATAGTTAAAATTTTGACTGAGATTGTATGAATGCAATGTATATGAAAAATTAGGGGGGGTACCCTGTTCTACTTCTGTTTTTGTTTTACTCTGCCCATAAATTTCTAATTTTATTGTTTATTATGCTTCCATATATAATAAATAAAGATATTATAAAGTTATAACACATTTGACCATATGGTTTACAAGCTAGGACAATTTTAGTAAACGCTTAAAAAAACTCTATCACAGAAATTGAAAAAATCCTATGTTAAAAAAATCACATTTTTTAATACGAAAAAAAATCATAACTTTTTAACCGTTTGAGCTACATCAAAAAGGAAAACTGTTCTGTTATTGTAATTTTCTGCTCCTTTTAACTGTAGTAGTTGTTTCCCTAGAAAACCAATTTTAAAAATTTATCCTAGTACCTAGTTATGAATCTAGCCTAGACTAGATCTAAATCTAGATCTAGCCTAGATGTAGGTCACTAGACTCAATGTAAATTCTAGATCTAGACTTAATGTAAATTCTACATCTAGAATCTATTTCAGGCCTTAATTATTTTATATAAATCTTTGTTTAGCTTCAATGATCATCTAATTCGAGAATACATGGGATTTTTTTTTATCTAGGTTCTATATCTAGATATAGTAGGATTACTCACTAACTTGGAGGCGTGGTCGGCTGCTAACAACAATATGGCGTCCGGACCGGACGCAGGACTTCCGACCATTTTTAGGCCATGTTTACCACGAGCAAAATGGCGGGTGTTCACATTATTTAAACATGGTATAGGTGGCCAGGGCTAGATATGCCAGAAAAGCATTTTAAAATTTGCTTTGGAGAATGAAGGCTAAATTTTAAAGTCAGTGTCATAAAAATTAATAGAACTTTTTTTTTTACGTTTTCAATTATTTTTTCTTAAGCCCTATATGTGAATGATAAGGTTGACTATCAGGACCTCGCGGGGCACAGGGCAGGTGAAGTAGGGTTCATCTGTTTCTTTGTCCTAAGCATATGAAAGGATAGTGTGGTCAGAGACATGCTCGGCTGGAATCGTTTTTTAAACGATAAATACATGTTGTCTGAGACTTGGCGGGACACTGGGCAGGTGAAGTAGAGTTGAGTAGGTCACATGTGACGTCAGTATATGAAGGGATAGTCCGAAATCGGTGTTTTCAGAGTTTTTAAAAGATAAAAAACATATTTTTGAATGTGGGGTCTGTTTTTTGTGACGATAAGTGACACTGCAGTAGCGTAGCGAGGAGGGGGGGGGGGGGCGGTAGGGGAGGGTAGGCGGGGGGGGGGGGGGAAGTGAGGTGGATGGGGGAAGGGGGGGCGGGGGGGGACATATGTTGGGGCGCCAAAATGGTTTGGAAAAATAAATTGAAAGGTTGAGGGGGGTTCAAATCGAAAGTTTGAGTGGGGGGGGGGGTGCACATCAAAAGTTTAAGGGGGGGGGTTCAAATCGAAATCTTGCGGGGGGGGGGGGGGGGTTCAAATCGAAAACTTTGTCCCCGGGCGCCGGGAAGGGTCGCTCTGCCTCTGAGTGACAGACGTGATGTTTTTTGATGGATGACCCCCGAAACTCACAGTTATCCAACGGATGACGGGTATTCTAGTTTATATTCTAAAATTGGAAGATTATGCCATTAGTTTTGAACTGTTTTGTGTTCTTTCCAAAGTTTAAAGAAGTCACATGTGAAGTCATTGTTTATTTCATTCTTTTCACAACAATAAATGCTTTTCCGGTTGCATTATTAAAATTGTGTTTCTACATTCGAATATGCCTTAAATTTTATTTCCCTTCTTTAAATAAAATTTAGATAATACATTTATAACATCCACCATATATTATTTTCAACAAAAGCCAGTATCTTCAAGTTTTCCATATTTAGCTGAACATTCTGATCACAATCGCCTATAAAAACTTGCTGACAGAGAGAGAGAGAGAGAGAGAGAAGTGCGCATATGGACTTTTATATATTAAGATTAATATATAGATCTAGAGGTAATCTATCGTTTTAGCTGCGTAAAATCCGCGAGGCTGGTAATGTGAAAAAAAGTTGCCTCATTGTTAAGGCTTTAATAGATGTATATTATGATATATTTTTGTCAAATATTATAGATAACTGAATAATAAAGCAATAGATAAATATATCAATATAGGTCAGAAATTAACTTTAAACAGCAGTGTTTGCGAGCAAGATTTGCTATATAAACAGCGGCCACCTGTATATTAGAGTGGTTTCCCCTGAATCTCTAATTATAATTTAGCCAAAAAATTTAAACAGGATGATTGCTAAAACAATTGAGCTTGGTTGCATTGGATGTAAACATTGCTAGATCTAGTCTTTATTTATTACTGAAAAGTTTTAATACATTTATTTACAGTTACATGAAACTTTGAAACATTTATGTAGCTTTCAAAACTTAAATCCTCCTAAAAATGTGAAATCATAAATTTAATAAGTCAACTTTTTTTCACATTACTAGTCTTGGCTGATTTTACGTACCTTAAACAATAGATTACCATTAAATATAGGGTCAGGGCGTAGGCATATGGACTATGGTAGGTACTAGATCTAGGTAGGGTAAGGATTTCTGTCACATTACTAAATTAAAATAATTACTATATCTAGTACTAGCTGTGGCCTATTTTAAAATAATTTTTAGTACATAAAACTAAGATTGATAGTTATTATTTTTATTATTAGATTAGAATCTACCTTTAAATATGTAAGTATAGGTTTTTAGGTAGGTAATAGACTTATAGATTTACAATATTTTATAACAAAGATCCGAAAATATTCAAAATATACTTACTTTAGGCCTATTAATATTATTAATTAATATTAATGCTTCTTTATCAACTCATAGCCCTTCTTCAAAATCTCATCAAGGCTTATTAATTTAAAATTAAAAAATTATTAAATAACAGGACTATTAATAATTAACTAGACTTACCCGGTCATCACTTGGATAACTGTAGGTTTTGGGGGTCATCCATAACATTACGTCTGTCATTTATCATCATAAAATAACCAGACCCCACATTCAAAAAGACGTTTTTTATCTTTTAAAACACCGATTTCAGCTGAGCATAGGTCTGACCACACTATCCTTTCATATATGATATCACAGGTGACCTACTCAACTCTACTTCAGTGTCCCGCCAAGTCTCAGACAACATGTTTTTATTGTTTAAATAAAAACGAATCTCGTCGAACATGTCTCTGACAACACTATGCCTTCATATGCTTAGGACAAAGAAACAGATGAACTCTACTTCATCTGCCCTGTGTCCCGCCAAGTTCAGATAGTCAAATTTATCATTAACATCTATAAAAAAAAATTGAAAAAAAAAATTATGAAGTATGAAAATTACATTTTTGAGTATTTTATCTCTAAACCATATGAGTTTGTGGGCATTAAGCTTTCCATTAATACTAAATTTATGAATCTAGCTTTATTAGGAGAAGAGGAATTTTTTTCTTCTATTTAATAAAGGTTGAACTAAAAGAGCAAGGGTCTAAGGTCTCTTAGATCTATATGAATTCTAAAAAAAAAATTAAGCAAGTGTAAAGTTAAGACGTAAATATTTAAACATGTTTATAAATGCAATCAATATATTTTCAAAAACTATTTTTAATTTGGTTTTCTAATCAAGATTTTTTTTTCCAGTTTTTTCTGCAACAATTCATCAATCTAAAGCTATGGAAAACACAAAGGACACTAATGGTATAGTTTGGGAGAGTTCAATTATGGTTAAACAGGAATTGAGTGACGGAATCATAACATTTATGGACATGAAATCAGATGAAACATCAGCTATTTCAAGTTCAGAAGGAGTACAAACAAATATATCAACACTCTTTTCAAATTCTGAAGATATAAAGCAAAATGTATCAACACAATTTTCAACTGTTAAAGACAAATACTTGGAGGAAACAAGGCCATTTTTAGCTTTAGAAGATAAAAATCTTGATAAAACAAAGCCTTTGTTTAATTTAGAAGAGATGAAACAAGATAACCCAACATTATTTTCATCTTCTGAAGACATGAAACCAAATCTATCAACAGCATTTTCAATTTTTGAAGATAAGAAACCTGAGATATTAACAATTTCATCTTTGGAGAGTGAACAACAAAATGGTTTCAAAGCACAGCAACAACTTTCTTCCCCACCAGATTCAACTGATTTTAAAGAAAATTTCGCAGTTCTGAAATCAGATCTTCAAAATGAATTAAAAGAACTCAAGTTATTACATACAAAATTGATTGATAATCTCCCAAAAGAATATCTGATTAGCAATAAGGGACTGAAGACATACAAGTGTGATATGTGTTGTCAAAGATTTTTCCATTTTGATCATGTTAAACAACACATAAACATTCACACAAGGGTGAATCCATATGGTCATGATTTTCGTCAGCAAGAAGTTGTTATGATCAGTCAGGGTGAACAGATTAAAAAAACAAACCTAGAACAGGTATACAATAAGTCTAGTTTGTCTAAAAAGTTCACTACAGAGTCTAGTTTATCCACACACACAAATATTCATTCTGGAATTAAGCCATATGAATGCTATGTTTGTCATAAAAAGTTTGCAAAGAAGAGAAATTTATCTAGACATAAAATAACTATCCATTCTAGTCTCAAGCCACATGAATGCGATGTTTGTCATAAAAGTTTTGCCCTTATTTCTAATTTATCTAGACATAAAAATATTCATTTACATAAGAGACCATATGAATGTGATGTGTGTCTCAAAAAATTTAATCATGAAGATCAATTATCTAGACATAAAAATATTCATTTACCACAGAGACCATATGAATGTGATGTGTGTCACAAAAAATTTAATCAAAAAAGTAATTTATCTAGACATAAAAATATTCATTTACCAGAGAGACTATATGAATGTGATGTGTGTCATAAAAAATTTAATTGTAAAGATAATTTATCTACACATAAAAATGTTCATTTACCAGAGAGACCATATGAATGTTATGTGTGTCACAAAAAATTTAATCTAAAAAGTCATTTATCTACACATAAAAATATACATTTACCAGAGAGACCATATGAATGTTATGTGTGTCATAAAAAATTTAATTATAAAGGTGATTTATCAGAGCATAAAAATATTCATTTACCAGATAGACCATATGAATGTGATGTGTGTCACAAAAAATTTAATCAAAAAAGTAATTTATCTACACATAAAAATATTCATTTACCAGAGAGACCATATGAATGTGATGTGTGTCATAAAAAATTTAATCGTAAAGGTCATTTATCTACACATAAAAATATTCATTTACCAGAGAGACCATATGAATGTGATGTGTGTCACAAAAAATTTAATTTTAAAGATAGTTTATCTAAGCATAAAAATATTCATTTACCAGAGAGACCATATGAATTTGATGTGTGTCACAAAAAATTTAATTTTAAAGATAGTTTATCTAAGCATAAAAATATTCATTTACCAGAGAGACCATATGAATTTGACATTTATCACAAACGTTTCCTCTAAATCTAGTTTATCTATGCACACAAATTTTTACTCAGGACTTGAATGTGTTGTTGGTCATTAAATTCTCTTTCACAAAGATCTTTAATTATCTATACGAGCCGACCCGCGGCGTATCATACGCCGCTATTTAGTTGATTTATTTTCTACTTTCAGTAATTCATAATTTGTGAATTCGACAGTACCAATGCTGCCACTGAAAATATTTGCTTTAAAACACTAACCCCCCTCCTTTCCCCTAACACCGACCCTACACCCCCCCCCCCCCCCCCCCCGTGAAAGCAGCCTCCTCTTAGTTACCTCTTGTAAGTTTAAAGTCGGTTCAAACTTAATTATCTGCGCCTAATAGCCGTCACTAAACCTGGCTGTACGGTTTGTAAACATTAACGTGACCACAGCTCAGCAGACCATGTGGGGGTGGGGTAGGGTGATAGTGATAGAGAGAGGGGACTGTAAGGAGGCGCTGCAGCTTGTTTTCTAACGGCTCGCAGAGGAGAATTATATATATAGATATAAAATTATTGCTTTTTTTTTTTTACTAATACCACATTGTGTAGGCTGAAAACACACCATTAATGTTTGTCATACAGGATATAATACTCTTCATAATATTATTTGTCATACAAAGTATTACAAATGATTAATATTCTAACTAGACAATTCACACAAAGGAAGAAAAACTACATGGAAAGAATTGGTGTCATGAATCTCCATAGCACATTTATTATCTAGTACAAGTTGTTAAGGCTAGCTTTGTTTCGGTTTTTTGGAAAATATGATGGCTAAATTCTTATCCTTTACATTACCCATAAAACAATACTAACCACTAATAAACACCAACATTTTAAATGTACAATTATAATTTGAATCATTGAAGTAATACTTACTCTATATTTTTCTATATTGAATATAATTCATTTTATGCAATTTTAAATTTTGTATAACTAATTATTTAACCCATTAAGTTGATCATAATTATGATAATTGAAGTGAGCAACAAAATGTATTAAGTAATGTAGCTGAAAATGATTAAATTTTTAAGACATAAGATACAATTTATTATTATGATTATTATTGATGTTTAATTTATCTTTTTTTTAGAGACATAATAAATATTTTCAGCTTTTAATTAGCGTTAATTCCGTTTTTTTTGGGTTATTATGATTGGATGGGCTGTTATGATATATAGGTCTAGACCAGGGGTCTCCAAACTACGGCCCGCGGGCCAGATGCGGCCCGCGAGGTCCTTTCATCCGGCCCGCGGAGATCTTTTTGTCCACGGAAAAAATGTTTGCTGGTGATGGCTGAGGAACTTTGCCCAGAAAAATTAAAGACATATCTGGAAGAAACTGGCCCCCGAACTGAAATTTGATAGCTAATGCGGCCCTCGGGCTGAAAAGTTTGGAGACCCCTGGTCTAGACCAATCTATACATATATATATATATATATATATATATATATATATATATATATATATATATATATATATATATATATATATATATATATAAATGAATGTATGTGGGTTTGAATATATTCCATTTTATGCAATTCTAAATTTTGTATAAATAATTATTTAACCCATTAAGTTGATCATAATTATGATAATTGAAGTGAGCAACAAAATGTAGTAATTAATGTAGCTGTAAATGATTACATTTTTTAGACATAAGAAACAATTTATTATTATGATTATTATTGATGTTTAATGTATCTTTTTTTAAAAGACATAATAAATATTTTCAGCTATTAATTAATCAGAAAGTGTTAATTCCGTTTTTTAGGGTTATTATGATTGGATAGGCTGTTATGATATATAGATCTAGACCAATAAATATATATATATATATATATATATATATATATATATATATATATATATATATATATATATATATATATATATAAATATATATATATATATATATATATATATATATATATATATATATATATATATATATATAAATATATATATATATATATATATATATATATATAAATATATATATATATATAAATATATATATATATATATATATAAATATATATATATATATATATATATATATATATATATATATATATATATATATAAATATATATATATATATATATATATATGAATGTATGTGGGTTTGTTTGTTGATTTGTCCTTATGTCATTACTACACCTTTCACCTATCGCCATCACACTTTGGGGAGTTGCTGAATAGGTTTCTTTCTGTGTTGAAAGGGGTGGGGGGGGGGGAAGAAGATTCAATGTCACAAGGGCGGCGCACCGGCAAAGTTCGATGCGATTTGTCTCTATAATACGGTATATAAAGAGTCTTGATGCGGTTAGACACCGTTCATCCTAGTGCCATAAAACTCTGGGGAGTAAAACTGCAACAGGCGCAGCTCACTAAATTAAATCAGGCGCAAAGGCGCCTACGTTCGTGCGATGTATAAATTGGGGTATTATAGTATTTTATCGAATGATATTGTTTGCTAAACTTTGCAATGACTCTTTCGCGATTAAAAAAATATAGTTCGGCCAATTCCAATTGAATAAAATGTGAACGATTGTCCAGTTAAGTCTGTAGAGCATTGGGATCGCGAATGGCTTTCTTGGGGGTCGCGAACTGGTAGACTAAACCCTAGCAATGAAAAAAAAAACAACAACAAATATTTAGAAATTAGAAGAATATCTGAAATTCAGCTTTACTAACATCTCAGGAAATGAAATTAAGAAAAACAATGCGTAACGTGCAAAGTTGATCTCAGCCATGGGTCTATGAAACCTTCAAAACTTAAACGTCATTTTGAGACGAATCATTCGGTACACCAAAAAGACATGGAGCTCTTTTGTCGGCATGAAGTTAGCAGTGTTTCTTCCAGACTTTTTTCTCCGGGGGGTGGGGGCGAACTGGAAGAAACTCTGGAAGTTAGTTGCAAATGTCAGAGACTTAATCGAACATGTTTTCAAGAATGAAACACAGCATTAGTGAAATCATACAATGAAGTCGCGATAGAAATTGCCAAGCAAAAAAAAAAAAACAAAAAAAAAAAAAACAATAGGACAAAATTTCATCAAACCCTGCATGTTGAAGATGGTGAAATTAATTCTTGAAGGTTCCAGTGCAATAAAGATGCAACAAGTATCTCTGTATAATAATACTATTCAACGGCTTATAGCAGCCATTTCCATGGATAGTTAAAGAACAAATTTTGAATGAAATCAAGCTTTCACCATTGTTTGATTTTCAAGTTGATGAATAAACAGACGTAAGTTCGTATTCGCAGTTGCTTGTCTTTGTAAAATATATTCGTTCAAATTATAGGAGAGAAGAGTTGCTTTTTAGTGAAAATATCATGGAGAGAATAAATACGTTTTTTTGAAGCTTGATGATAAAAGATTTAGCTGCCTAACCCACGGGAAATCTACTGCATGATTCACCGGTATGCCCTCGCCAGTAAGACTCTTCCGACATCATTGCTAATAAACGTCGTAAATTATAATAATAAATCCGGAGTCCTAAACACACGTCTGTTTAAAGAACGGTGCAAAGAAATGATAAAAATCACGAAGTTCTGCTTTTCTTCACTACAGTACGTTGGCTGTCAAAAGAAAATATTGTGAATCACGTTTTTGAATTGAAAGATAAAATAAATAATACTTATAGGCTAGAGGATACAACACTGAACATTATATTATTGGAGTGATTGTATAATTGTGTTGATCTTGATGTTTTTCGGCCCGCTGTGTGTACGTGTTGCGTCTGTTCTGCAAAAAATTCATAAAAAACGTTTTAATAACAAGCTTTTATGTAATAATGCACTAAAAAGTAGAAAATAAATTATAGACTACTATTTAAATAACTATAAAGAAAAGCGTGGGTCACTTTGGTACTTTACTACCTATTGGATACCTTTACTAATATTTGAGAAGAGACCCACGCTTTTCTTTATAGTAATTTAAATAGTAGTGTATAATTTATTTTCTACTTTTTAGTGCATTATTACATAAAAGCTTGTTATTAAAACGTTTTTTATGAATTTTTTTTCAGTACTTTACATGTTTTATTTACAATAGAGTTACATGACTAAAAACCATTGCGCGCCTAGCGCAGCCATTGAACGTGATTGCGCAGCTATTGAACGTGATGAAGCGTGTGGTGTGGTTGGATAGACATGCCTACTAATTCGGTCCAAATTTTATTTAATTCTTAAAAAATTAATTAGGCATCCAATTGAGTCAAATTTAATTTCAGATTGAATTGTCTTCATGTCTTGACCCACGTGCCAAGTGTGAATCGTATCGGTCAAGTAGAAGTTTCCGAATTTTCACTCCGGCGTTTCAGTCTAGACAGACTGACGACAAAGGAAGTGAGTTAAATAAAAGCTTTATTATCTAAAATTTCGTTGCCGCGGGGTAGAAATAAGTTTGACGAAATGTATTAGGATTTCAGCAACGCGTTACCAATTATATGTTCTAAGACGCGTGACCGTCTTTTCTAAAAGTGAGTTATTTAAATGTAAACAATGCCTGCGCTTAAATCATAAATATCGGGACACAGGTTTACCTACACTACCGTATGTAAACATTGAGTGTACATTAATCACTCACCGAAATAATGTTAGAACACACTTCGGTGACCGCCCATGTGTCAGAGACGCACATGGGCGCTCTCAGGGCCCCCACCCCCACGATTAGACTACCGCATAGGCGCGGCGTACGACCCCTGGCTCCTTAAACTAACAGGCGCCTTCGTCCAAATAGCATCCTATTAATAATGATGTAGATTTCGTCATTCGCTAAAGTGACACAAATGAACAGGATTTTTTTCTTTAACACGTAAAAAAGTATTTAACGTGTTTTAAACATCAGTGTGACTGATGCAATATGCTAGCGTTACTAATGGTCTATTATTAGGTGCTCGATCTCAATTGCATCATTCGCAAAGTGACGAAACTCTACAGTAGGCTCCTCATATTCAAAAAGTTATTTTTTTCATCTTTGGCAAGGTGACGAAACTGCACTGAAGGATTTCCTCGCGTTACAAAGCTATTTTTAGAAGCGTGTTGTAGTTTTACCGCTGAATATTATAGTACCCCTTTCTCGCAATGCGGGACGCTCGATTAACGGATGCTAAGTGCCAACATAGTCGCTCTAAAACTCTGGGCGCCAAACCGTGTATTGACGAAAGTTGTACCCTATATGACGCCGCCCATAAGAAACGTTAGTTTTCTTTTTC